GGTAGGTTACACATCAAGCAGCCTCCCAGACAGGGACTAATTGAAGAGCCAGGTGTTACACTTCACCAGCAAAAGGAGGCTGGCTCGAGACGAAGCAATTACATATGTAGTATTACATTGCTGAAAGAAGTAGTGCTTTATTTCTTGCATGTCAAAAGGCTACAGCTTCTACATACTTTGTATATAAGTGCTGGAGCTGTTAACATATTGGTAAACTCTAAAATAGGGTTCCTAAGTCAGAGTTCTGATTCTAGTGGATGAAGGTCACAAAACAGAAACAAATTTTTGAACAAAGCAAGACTTTTGCTTCCTCGGGTGTTCAACTAATTGTATGTGCCTGTCAAGAGAATCACCGCCTTCTTAGATTCCCCAAATCTCTGACATGTAGGGGATCTAAGAACATAAGCTGACTGTTTTTAAAGGGCTTAGCATCAAATTATTTCCTGAAATATAGATGTGTGAATGTTGAAACACATGATTTTTTTTCAAGTCATCCCCCTCCTTAGACTTTAGAAGTCATCATGTGCTACATCAGAATGAGAGGGTTTTAAAATGAGCTGCCTGTCTTCCCCACTCTCTGGGTAACTAGATACATGTGTACTGCATAGGATAGATTGTCTTGGGGTTTTTAAAGAAAAAAAAAAGTCTGAGAAACAAGAAACTGCAGCTGAGACTGGAATGTGGCACCTTATAAATAAGGCAGGGGACAAGATGCACTCTGATGGCTGAATACAGTAAGGTTATTCAGCTCTAAGCCTGCCTAATCACTGAAGTCAAATGTAATGAATTTACTGGTGTGATCAAGGCCCGAGGGAGGGAATTTTCCCCGTTTGCACAAATGGCACCATACGTGGGCCAGGAAATTCCTTGGCTGAGGTAGGGGGTGTTTCTCCAGAGGACATGAACAGGGGACGAGAAAATACCACCTTCTGTGGGCACCATCATGGGCAGTGGAACAGGAAACACAAAGGGGAGGGAAAGCCCCTGAGCTCTGGTACCTGCAGAGGATCTCGGGAAGGCAGTCCAGAGAAGGTTGGTGCCATGGCATAACTTGGGTTGCAAGTAGACATGGTTAGCTTTGAACACTGGGTAATTCACTCCTCTCAAGCCAGCTTTTACACAGAAGTGAGAAACTGCCCAAGTACTTGGTTTTGGGCAGTCCAAGCCAAGTGCTGAGGTGCTGCAGTCTGTCTCTAGTGGTAACTCCTTAGCAAATGCTAAAACATTCCAACTCCTCTATATATTCTGTTCACCTCAACAGCTGGGTGCAGGCTCGGGTTATAGCTCCCCTTGAGGCGTTTCCACAGTGCAGCCATGAGCTGCTTTCTGCCCTTACAAAAGAAGTTAACATATTGAAGCTCAAGACACATCCTCCACATAAAATTCCGGTCTTCATCAGTATGCTAGCAAGTAAACTTTAGCACATTACCAAGTTGCCATTGCAATCAACAGATTTTGGCAGGAAGATCATGGAATTTAATGCTATAGCAATCCACTACTAAGTAAAATAGTTGTTAAGAAAGCAAAATGAGGAGTACCACAGTAAACACTCTAATACTGTGTCCTATAGCTTCACATGCATATAGAAAGGCACAGGAATATAAGCTGTTTCTAGGACTGCTGAAATGACTGAAGATATTCACATTTTATGCTTTAGATTAATTAGGAAGCTAATAACCCAATGTCACTTTAGCTCAGATTCAGTGAGGAAAATAGAGGAAACAATGTCTGATGAATGGAAAAGAATAGACAAAATGGAGATCAAAATGTTACTTTTAGCAAGCTTAAAACAAGTATTATGAAACAATTCTCCATGGATGTCAGTCGGTGCACAAGAAGCAAAAAGTGGGGGAAGGAAAATGACAGACCTCAAATGGATCAGCAAAAGAAATTGTTTCTTTCTTGGAGTACATGAAGTGCAAGAACAGAATTTCCTTGGAGTACTTTCAAAGCACCTGAATATCCAGCATGTCCATACATTTCTTGAGTACCAGTAACCTCCCAGAAATCTTGAGACTACCAATGTATGTTGCCCAATTTATAGTCCAGAGTCAGATCATCTCAACGTGCTTTTGTCGTTCTGGAAGGGTCAACACATGAGCATACCTCACAGGAGGTATCTGGGATGGCTGAAAGAAAAATAGTCACTTCTAGATAAAGTTTTGTGTTAGAAACTTTCACTACCGTGCACATCACTGTCACAGAAAAGACAAATTAAAAATTGAGTCAAAGAGGCCATTAAATACTACTGAAACAAACCTCCCACAGCCACATCACCAGAAAAATCATGGGCCCCATCTATTCTTACACAGCAGCACCAGCTTGGCAAATACAGCTGGGAAGATCAATGGCAAAAAAACCCCATCAATTTTGTACTATTTTCTTTGTCTATGATTCTTCTGCATGACAGTCCTCATGTAGCAGGGGATATCTCATGTAGTCTGAATCCAGGCTATAGCACCAGGAGCTGAGACTGAGAAATTCTACTGCGGGGAAAAGCAAGAGTGACAGGTATCAGTAAAAACACCTACAGACATCTTGAAGTGCTAAAACACAGACAAGCAAGCCATCATGTGAAATGGTGAAAGAGTCACTGGAGTCTGAGGTCTGTTTTGTAACAGATAAAATTTGTCTTGAACCCCTGTTTTACATGAGTAAAACTCAACCTCACACCTCACAGTATTGAGGGATGCCCAGAAAAGCTGTGGATGTTCCACCCCTGGAAGTGTCCAAGGCCATGTTGGATGGAGCTCTGGGCAATCTGTTTTAGTGGAAGGTGCCCATGTCAGGAGGGTGGAACTGGATGATCTTTCCTTCCAATCCAAACCATTCTATGATTCTATGCTATAATTAGTGAAAAATATATGACATCATCATGTCTTGGATAACACATGGAAGATATCTCTAGCATTAAAACATGAAATAATAAGAGTAACTGATGCTATTAAATTACAAAAGTAAGTTTATTTTATCAACATTATAAATATTTTCTTTCCCTCCATTCAACTCCAAAATGAGATAGTAAAACCAGTACAACGGAACAATTCAGGAGCTCCTCAGCTCTACTAAAAAAGTTCCCCTTAATAACAAATTAAAATGGAAAATCACATTTTGTCAGTCCAGCAATATCAGTAGCTGAGCATCCCTAGATACTTTATCATTCAAATGGCACAATTTTAAGTGTGTGTGTATATGTGTGTGTGCATCTATATATATGTATACTGATGTTTATAAATATACATATATACAGTAATATACACACAGTAATAGACACGGCCACTGAATAGACACTTTTAGTAATCAAAATGCTTTAGATGTAATTTAAGTGGATTCCCAGCTGCACATTGAAATTTAGGCCCTGCACAGTGCAGGTACAACTACACTGGATAAATCTAGAGCCCAAGTGCCCCAGAGATTCAACACATAGGTCACCACTGATTGCTACAGAGTCTGCCTGCTTCTAGTGGCTGTCCAAAATTGAGAATCCCATCACACTTCAAAAATGGTAAGGAATAATCCTGTAGCATCCTGGTCCCAAACTGCCCTCAGTGAACCAACTTTTGATATTCCTTGCCATTGTAGAAAACAATATACATGTTCTGTTACCTACAAATACAACACATCACAAGTATCTCGTGCATTATGTGTGCAGCGCTTTGGGACAGCTTGAATACTAAAGGCACTACATACAGCCAGTTCCTGTCCTAACTCCAGTGCTGGGAGTCCTTTTATCATTATCCAGTGCTTTTATCATACAAGTAACTGTCTTCAGCTGAGCACACAGCATGGGCAGCTTTCCAGAGGCACAATGGGCTCACTCTGATCATATCATCATACTCCAGCTTCCAGGGAAAAAGGCAAGCCACGGTCTCTCATGTGCTCTGAGTTCCTCCGAGCAGCCCAAATGGCCCAAAATTGCTCAGGAAATCTGCACATCCTGACAAGCTGCTCCAGAGCCAGCCACGGCTGCAACCACCTCTCAGGCACTAGGGATAGCCTGACAAGGGGAGGACCACTGGGGACAGAGATGGACCAGACCCAGCTCCCTTATCATAATTCACATGTGGCCTCTGGAAGCTACCTGTGATTAAAGCAAGCCTTTACTGCTCCACTTGTTTCAGGGGACTAAGGGACCAGGGAGCTGTCACAGGCTCAGTGACCACACTCTGCTCAGGCACCAGACTGGCCCCAGCACAGGACAGAGCTAAGCTCCTGGTGTCATTGAAGCTTCCTCCGTTTCTCACATCAGTAAAACAAAGTAAAAAGGTAAAATTGATAGAAACATAATTCTTATTATCATCCAATATATAGAAATATTACAGTAATGTCTTTTCTCACTGCTGGGAAATGATGCAAGGCCTACCATGAAACCACAGCATGAGAATGTTCCTTGTGGAAATTTCACATACCACACCAAAATTATATTCCGATTTTTTATTTTAACAGTTGCCAAATTCTGTTCTAATATATACACATACTGACCTTCTCCACAAGCCCCTGGATGACTACCAAGAGAAGGAATTTGGCTTTCATATTTTATTTTTTAAACGAGAAAGACAGAAAATAAGACAAAATACATTTCATGTCACCATTGACCTATAGATTACAAATATATATATAGTTTCCTTCCAGAGGAAGAAATACTATGGAAATATTTTGCTCATATCAAATGAACCTTTGAAAACAGAAAAAAAATTAAAAGTATATTTTTCAGCTCCTCCCTCTCTACCATAACAATCACTTGTTTGAAAAAAAAAAAAAGAAAAGAAAAAGAAAATAAATACATTTAATTTCCTCCACCTCTAGTAAGGAAGAAAAACTTATCTGGATAATGACCTGAGTTATTTTCATGGTTTCCAAATGTATGTAATCCTGATGATCATCATCTACCAGAGAGCTACACCTAGCAAGGCATATGAAAGCAAACACTGGTGGATCCTTCAAAACAAACAACAAAGCAAAACTCAAAAATGTATTACAAGAATTATGCCAAAACTCAGTCATGAATGTCTTCATGGGAACTGGTCAGATAAAGTAGAAGTGGAAGCTCTGTTATTTCTGGCAGCTGAGATATCTGCAGCAATTGGAAACCCAAAGGTGGAACATTTTGTTTATGCTTGTGTGTATGTGTGTTTGCTTTCTCTTCTTTTACGGTTATAAGACAGAGAACAGACGAGTAGTGAAGACATAGCGGGCCTTTACAGTGGCTAAGCTTTACATTTTTGAGCCTATAGTGGGTAATGAGGCAAGGAGCTGCTGCTTGTCCTTCTCCAGTGGGACAGACTCCCTGAAACTTTGTTCTCTTGAAGAATCAGATAGTTTACAGGTTCCGTCAAAGAAGGTTTTTCTATTCCACATGCGACTGGACCAGTGCCCATTTGTTTGTTGGCAGCAGCAAGGCTGATAACTGATGTTCTAGGCCTCCTTCCTATCTCTGGCTGTAATGCAAAGGGCACTAGGTCCATATATCAGTCCATCAGAACTCCCTCAGTGTTGCACAAATCTATCTCCAGTGTAAAACCCATGTTTTCAAGACTAAAGAACCACTATCAGCTTTGAGCAAGGCCTGAAACCTGAGCAGAACTGGATCGGTCATTACACACACACAAAAGTAATATGAGAAACCTTACTGGTAACTTTCTGCTCTGCCATTCGACATGGTATATCCCATATAACTCCTTTCCATACAAATTACTGTATCATGAGGCTACCATAACCACATACCCAGCAACAACGAGGTTAGGTTTTGTCACTGCTGTAAATCTAATTGTGCCCCACACCCTGGGAAACAAGGCAACAGGCAGCATCCTCTCCTAAAGCGAGGAAACTCCATAGCGATGGGGTACTGAGGATGCAGCTTTTGAGAGGATGGCAAGGGAGGGAGTGTAGCTGGTAAAAACACTGGACTTTTCCTAAGGGCATCCAGAGCTCATCAAATATTTTGCTACTGCCTGACCATTTGTGAAGAAAACACAGAGATAACAGGTACTATTTAACTGATGAGAAGTGAGGGGAACAGGAGAATAAAAGGAATGTAGGAAATTGTAAAGATGGAGGAGGGCCTCATTGGGTGCTTTAATGTCCCAGTTAGTTTGGAGTTTTGTTCCCCCACACCCTCTTGTCTTTCCTTTTGTTTTTTCTTCCTTTTTTTTTAAAATAAATTGTACAGATGAACATGGGAGAAGTTCATGCTACTTGCTGGAAGCAATAACGGTAAATTTCCATGGCCCATGGATTCCACAGACCTTTGAGTGTCCCACCTCATCTATCATGGGCTAACTTATGGAACCTAACCATTCCGTGGCAAGACTCAGTAGCCCTTAGAAACTGGTGGCATGTCCTCAGGTATTTTCCACTAGAGTGAGAGACACGTTGATTCCATCAGCTTCTTTCTCACATGACGCCTGAGTGACTCAGGTGAAGCCTTGAGACTTCCAAGGATCCTCTTCGACATTTTCAGACATCAGACTGCTGTCTCTAGATCTTCGTGGGTAACCATTTGGTAGTTTTGTCGACTCTCCAGGTAGGAAGCCAGATCCGGGTCACCAGCTTGCTGAGCCCTGTCACGAGGGGTCTTACCCTAGAACAAGAAACAGGAAGAGAAAATCTTGTGGTAATATATTTAGAAGAACGGATGATTCCTGGGCAGAAGAAGATTAACAAGTCAGAAGTCACTTGTCTGGATTTCAGCTGTTTCAGAAAGCTTTTTGCAATGTACAGTACTGTCATCTGAAAAAGAGATCACAGAATCATAGAGGATCTCTCTTCCCCTTATGGGCTACCCTATACAGCATAGCATGGTGGGAATTGTTTTTGAATGCCTTGCTACAGCAAAGATGCTTCTGATTCTAGAACCCAGAGAAACAACCCACTCTCAGCTGCTGACCACAGGATGTTTATGATCAGAAATTCCAGAGCGGCAGCTTCTGGACCGTGTTCCTAAGCAATCAGATTGTTTCAATGACAGAATATTCCTCGGATTTAATTTTGCCCAGACTTCTTTCTCAATCAAGCTTACACCAAGAGAGGGTTGTGGTTAGTGTCCCATCATTGAGCACAGGGGCAAGCCAGGGAAAAAGCAAATAGATAGCCATCCTCACAAAGCAAGTCAGCCACAATAATCAAGCCTCACAGAAGCTATGCAATCCGAAATCAAGGCTCCTGCAGGTGGTCCTTGCCCACAGGCCTCTCTTTTGACCACACAGGAGGAGGATACTGCTGTGCCATGGAGATGTCTCATTCACACCCAATGCACCGAATAGTTTGAGGCCAGGCTCTCACTATGGTGATGATGACCCGTGTTGGGGACTGAACTGAAGTCTCTTGTACTTGTTTAAATCAATACAGTTTTCTATATAAAAATGGCTTGTTTAAAAAGAGCTGCTCTTGGCCCACACAAGCAAGCCTCAATCATGCAAACAGCAGGGACGGATGCTGATTGGTCTCGCTTGGCTGCAGTATTTTATAAGTGGTTGATGGAGCTGGGTTACCTTGGAGTCTGTCTTTCTCAGAGAGGCTCCCGCATCCACCAGGAGCTGGCAGACGGCGCGGTGGCGCTGGCAGGCTGCCTTATGTAATGCTGTCTCACCCCTAGACCAAAGTACAGAAACCAGCAGTGAGACACATCACACCAATGTACATTTACGAAGTATGAGGTGCAGAGGATAGACACAGAAGGATGCTGCATTTCTGCGAGGTTCCCTCTTGCTGGCAGAGGTAGGCTTGTGCACTCTCTCCCTTAGCATCTACATCCTTTGACTCAGTAGGAAAGCCTGCAATGCACAAATAGCAGACGAAGAACTCTGAGGGGTGGGAAAGAAACACGCACAGATTTTAAGTATTCAAAGGACTGAACGTCACATTCCCATCCAAACGCCAGTTCTGCTAACTGCTGCAAAGGCAAACTAGCTCCTTTCTTACTTCACAGCAGGCAAAACAACAACAGTGTTTGTTTCTTCCTGCAATTTGTTTCCTCAACCTCATTCTCTGACTCATCCTAGAAAAATCTTGCCCATCAAAGCTAAAACTGGTGCACTTGCTGCCTTGGTTCTGATACCCTGCTCTCTTGGGTGTATGAGAGCAAGAGCTGTGTTTTTGTTTTCTACTGCTGGACTGGTGAGCTACTGGGAAAGCTTGAACACAGGCTTTTCAAAAGAGAACACTGCGTAGTGGGAGCACATTTATTGCTGAGCCCCTCACTCAGACTAGAGCTACGTGTAAGAGGATTCTGAGATTGACTATAGTACTGAGAGTAAAGAAATCTATCTAGATTTTCCTAGGAAGAGGAGGAAAATATGCTTTGAGTGGATTGAAAAGGTGTCCTTTGTCCTTAATACTAGTATCCAACACGTACGGTCATTACAAAACGACAAAAAATGCATGTAGTAGGACAAATCTTACACCTACCTACTCAGAGAATGCACAAAGGAATTTCAGCCCCAGTTCATGACAGGGGAAGTTGAAATATTAATAGGCAACTCTGCAAGAAATCTGCCCTTGCAGCAGGAGAACTAGAATCAGAATGGGATACTACCTGATTTCCCCCTGAGGATCAAAAGACAAATTCCTACTGCCAGTTACAGCTTGAACCTCCCCTTTTCAAGAGTTAGCAGCAGAGGGACCTTTATAAAGGGAAGACCTTGTAGCCATGTTCACTAGCACTTTGTTTCAGTGGTTGTACTCTGCTACTGGGTGAAAAGAACCATCCAGACACCATCACCTCTGGACTTCACACACGCACCTTGTGCACAAGGTGTTCTCTGCTAGCAGAGGAGGGCACTGTGGGATGAGGAATGGTAGGCTTAATACCTGTGAGAAAGATGGCTTTTGCTTCCTATATATTCCATACACTTTCCAGGATTATTCCTGATTCCCTTGCAAACTTCAATTATACAACAAGATTTAAAGCAGTTGGGAACTGGAAAGTAATTTTTTTTGTTTAGTTTTGGATTTGGGGTGTTGTTTTATATAAGAACAGAGGTGATCAATGTTTTAACTACCTGATGAAAACCTTCAAATGCACAGGTTGTGGCCACCTGGGAGAACCAAGGCAGAGCACCCTGGATGAATCAAGAAGGGACTGAAGAAAAGGTGTAGAACAAGAAAAGTAATTTCGTGACTTATGGAATTTACTCTTCAGGTTGTTCCCCTAGTAGCTGGATGCCAGAAACATCAAAACACAATGTAGGACTTCAATTCCCCTAGAAAAAGGAAGCATGGGAAGCAATAGAGAGGAAGTACTTTATGAAGTCCAAGAAACATTTATTCTAGACCAGGAAGCCACATATGATCTGGTTGATGTTTGTGTTTAGGGGGACTTCTGTCTGCTTGTTTGTTTTTGAAGAGCTGTGCTTTTTTGGTTTAAAAATTTGCATTTGAAAACCAAGAGAAGTCTGCTATTCTAATACACATAATGTGAAGGGCAGAGTAGGTTGTACTTACGTTTCACTGTCTGTCATGTCCAGTAATTCAGATGGACCTGCAAAAGACAGTCAGGTATGTCATATAGCATTTGTCTGCATGACTAGAAGACTATGTCTACCAGGAGAAGATTCTCAGTACAACTTGCACAACTATGTCACATTTCAATGTACTATTTGCTTGTGAGAGCCCTTGCACTGGTAAAATTCTGAATGCACAGTCACTGCTGGAGTGTCAGCACCAGGGAGTATCAGCCTCTAAATTACACTGGGAATGAATATTCATGGGGTTTATTTTCTCACTCTTCACCTTGCTCAATTAAGTGGTTCACATAAGTACAGTGCATTGAAAATGCTGATATATTGGAAACCCTGATATATTGCAAGTTAAAATCTATTGTTACTACTAGAAGTAAAATGTCATTAGGAAGTTGAAATTAGCCAAATTCCATCCTGAATGACATCCCTGTGCTACTCCATTTAATAGCATTATACAAAATGTAGATCAGGGTGGAATATTCCCAGCAGTCTTTATATTGATATGCAAATCCTGTACTCAACTGGTTAGCAATGATCAGGAAAGTAAGATTAAGAAAAACATAAAAGATTTTAAGTGAAAAAAAAATTATGCATTTATGTTTATGTTCTTTTGTTCTTGATATTCACTATAGGCAGATATTTATAGCAGCAAATTCCATCACTGAATTACAGTGATACAGAAAGGCTAGGATCTGGATAACATTTGAAACAAGAAAAACTTTTCCCTTTGCAGTCTATTGTATCATTCTTCTCTCCACTGCTCTGGAGCAGAGTGCCAGATGGTTATGGGGCAGTTAGCAAAGGAAACACTGAAACTTTACAGTAATTTTCCTTCCTATGCACGAATATTTCCCATCAGCACACTTTGAAATTCAAGAGTCCTCAAGAGCTTACAGCAAATCTCACCTGAAACTGAGGAATTTCACACTATTTGCTTACAAAGGGCTACACACAACCTCCCTACACCCCTTTCACTCTGAGTGTGTGTGTCAAAACGTATCAGAGCAGCCGGTCTTAACCTCACTGCTTTTACAGTGTGCACATGCAGTATCACTGGGGGCTCCTGGAGCTGCAGGTAACTCCTTCACTTCTGTCATAATGGGAAAGGGGTGGTGGCTTAGTCCCCAGTACAGAGGGCATTGTATACCATTGCATATCTATCTTGACAGTTCTCCAAGCTCATTAGCCACTGCTGATTTTTAATGCAAAGCACCCTTACTCTGCCACCACACAGCTCATCTCCACACTTGGTGGTGATGTGTTCACTCCTGCCTATCAAAAAGAAGAATCACTCATGACCCCTAAGCTCCCATAAGCATGAAGAAGGGTAGAAGGGGCTAAGCAGGGCCTCTCATGGAGAGGAAAGAAAGGTAATGCCTGAGAAATTAAAAAGAATATTTAAAAAGCACATGTGAAGAAAAGGACTCCTTTCCCATGCAAAAATCACGTTCTTTCAAAAATAGAGGTAATTCCCCATTGCTTTATGCAATGACACATCCAGTGATAGGTAAGCAGGAATGGATTGCAGTGTGTTAGAAAAGACACACTGCCAATATTATTTCTGTTCATGGATGGAGCAAGGAAGGTTGTGTTGCTAAGGTGGAACAGGGTGACTGGGCTGGCTGCACGGAGCATAGAGGTACTTGCCCCGAAAAGAGGATAAAGGTGTTACAAGGTTAGGAGGAAGGATGGAGAGAAGTTAGAAGAATATGACTTGAGAGGGAGAAGAAGCTTGGGCAGAGTGGGCCTGGAGAGATAGGAAGCCAAGAGTTAAGAAAAACTGGTCTGGAGCAGGAAGAAGCAACAGGGCTGAGACAGAGATGCTGAGTGTGGAGGACTGAGAAGGCAGCCTGTGAGTAGAGACCTGAGGAGATGACAGGTACATTCTGCCTAAGTGGAAAGGATGTTCTCCTGTATACTGTTCCAAATTAAGCATTTCATGGGAGAGCCCTGACTCCACCTGAGTTATGCACAAGGGCCAGATACTGAGATTAATCAATTAGCTGCATAACATGATACCAGGATTCATTAATTTCATTCTCTCTGGCCTACCTCTGAAGCTGGAATGTCCCAACTCACACACAGCCTGGGCTGTGGCCTTTACTTCTTCATTTTATTTTCACTTGTGCTTCTCTTAAACCATCTCACGCCCTCCTCTTAAATCCCTTTCCCCTCTCTTTTGGACCTCATTTTTATATCAGTCTCCCTGGCGCTGCCAACCGACCATTCCAAATCCCCCTCTGCCCCGGGACAAAAGCTGCACAGATGTGGGAAGGGCTGGCACTGGGAAAGCTAACGGCACTGTCATCCTGACCCAGCAGGGAGGCGGCTGTTTTACTCTGGGACAAGAGGCAGAGAAAGAAAAGGGGACCAAGGCTCAGAGAGAGAGAGGACAAAATAACCCAATAGAAATCCGGAAGGGAAATGCATGAGTGAGATTTCTATCAAGGAAAACAGCAGGGGGGGAAATAAAAACAAAAGATAGAAATGTGTGGAGAGGTGGAGGGAGGAAAAAAAAGAGAGAGAGAAAGAGAAAAAGAGACTGGGGGGCTGAAGAATGGCAGGATGGGGACGGGGGCTGGAGGGGGGAGAAGTTCGCATGAAAGGAGCTGAAAAGCATGACACACCAAGGGGAAGCTCAGCTGAGATCATTCTCTTTCCTTACCATTGCCCCTAGATGGTCTGGGTAGAATTATTAACCTTTTTCCTTCTCTCCTTTTGCCCTCTTTCACTCCAGGAAAGCCCTTTACCAGTTTCTCAGGAGGCAAAGCATCCTGAGCTGGGGATGGGAGGAGGGAAGGGAAGGAAAAGCTCAAAAGAAGCTGCCCTTTCACTGAGCTCACTACAACAACAAAAAAGAGAGCCTAAATGGCCATATTTCAGAGGCATTTCCGAAATATTCAGAACCACATATTCTGAAAGGCCTCTGGGCTCCCAGTGTACCCCTCTCTGATGGTTGTGGTTACAGCTTCCCAAAGGAAACCCACAGGTACTAACCCTTACCAGTCCCTTGTCCTGTCAGTCCTTCATAGAACTGGGGAAGAAGGGTATTTACTTTAAGCAGTAATTCCAGACATTATCAGCATTTCTGTGTGTTTATCTGTCAAAATCCGCTTTATTTAATAACTTGACTGATGTTGTTCTGTGGAGGAAAACACTGGATTTGGTTCTTTACCTTCAAAGTGGGAATATTTTTAAAATAACAGTAATCTGGAAATTCAGAACTACTTCAAGCCTTTCCCCAACTCCATATTCTTCTTTTTTTACCTGATGTGAAAATTAAGTGTCTGTTTTTTCCTGCCAGTGTCTTTTAGCTCAGAATTTCCACTGTAACATAGAGGATAGTCAGGTTATGGGAGCATTCCTTCCATCCTAACTCTCTCTCTGCCTTGTTGCCCTAAAATTTGGTAAACTTGCAAATGAAAATAGGCTATTTTATACCTTGTGCCTTCTAGAAAGACTAACTTTTTTTCTGCTTAGGCCCCTCACAAATGACACTCTGCAAATCTAGACATACTAACAAATGCCATACAAACTCACTCTCATTCGGTGTTGCTTTCTGATGACTATTCAAACTTTGTCACCAACATACATCTCTGTCATGGCAAAATCTGCTTTCCAAAAGCCACCTTAGGGACTCCTGAATCTGGTCAGGATGCAAACCTGAATTCACTGATGACTCTTAACTCTGGACTTTGCAGTGCTAAGATTAATGAAATCATCATCTTTTTTTACCAGAGGATGCTTTCTAATGGAGCAAGGACATTGAGGTTTGAGGACATAGAAATGTTTAGGACAAGATGCTCTACACACTGACTGTTGCATCAGAAGTTCCCACCACAAACTCCTAGGGCAACTGTAAACATCTGCCCTCTCTTCTGTTTAAAATTAAAATAGCCCAGATGAATTATAAAATTCTTGCTTGTCTTTTGAGTTCATAGAGAAGAGGAGAAGACAAGGACAAGGCAAATGAAATTACTTGTATAATGTTTATAAATTATAAATTTTTCACAACTGTCAGATAAAGACTGCAAGCCAAATACAAATACAGATGATGATTTAGGAGGCCCCTTCTCTAATGGAACTTCTTAAGCCTTCCTCAATTCTGTTTGTGCTAAGCAAGTAAGCAGTTAGCTCTCTTCTAATGTGTATGCACTAGGACATGCTGCAGTTGCTGACTGCAGCAATAAGCAGCTGTGGTTCTAATACCTACCAAGTTTGGCCCTCTGTTTCTAGCTAAGCATTTCTTAGCTCAGCTACAGATGAGTCTTTAAGGCTAACCCTCTCACTAAAAGTAAAAGACTCCTGATTTAGGAAGGCAATCTTGAACAACTGATAGGTCTGCATATCTGCCCTTCCTGCCCAGGGAAGAGAGAGAAATTGTTTTGCTGGGGCAACAGTCAACACAACTCTTCGTGCAGCAATAAGCAGCTGTCATCCTGACACCTACTACATTGGTGCTTCAGCTGCTATTCCAGGCTTGTGCCGGTCCACTGCAAAGTATCTGGCAATACTGCACAGCAATCTCCTTGTGTGACTCATCTCTGCTATTTCTAATTTAAGATAGGCTATTTTCCTCCCTTAACATCTGAAATCATTCTGATCGTGATCACAGAATAACCTTTCATATTAATGTACCCTGCATGTTTGCAGAAAGCATAAAGCCATCTCCACAAAGGACAGTCTCAGCATCACTACACCATTTTTCCTCCTCCATAATCCTAGTTCTATGGGTCCCACTCCTGTGTTGCATTTGATTCACCCCACCATTTTCAAACTAGGTAGTAAAAATTCCTGATGCAGGGGGTTTTGTCTTGTTTTGTTCCTGCTGTTTTTTTAGAGATATTCAGAAGATTTTTCCCTGTGTGGTTAATAATACATTTTCTGTGCTGTGTGCTTGAGGGTATTTTACAGTGCAACTCCTATTAACACTAACTATCTCCAGTCGTGTATGGGAAGCACACACACTACAGAGGAAGTGCAGCTGGGCAGAGGCAATTGCCAGAACAGGAGTAAGGCTTATTTTTATGAAGGGTGGATATCAGCAGAAATGAGAAGCTAGATACAGGGAAAGCCTCAGATATGAGTAGAGTTGGATCAGGTCTTGCACAGTAATTAATGTTGAGAAGATGCCAGATGCCAGAGAATGCAAAGAAAACAAGGACATTATGATGATGATGATTCAGCAAGACTGCTCATTTGTGACTGGGAAGTGCCCAGGGTAGAAATGAATTTCATTAATTGCTTGGTGGGAGAAGAGAGGAGGCCTCTATTAGAGCATTGTCCCATGCACCCTCTGATCCCTGGAGAATGTTAAACAAACAATGCATTTGGAAAAGCCCAGAGGACATATGTCTGGAAAGCTGCAAAAGCTTCCTGCCATCCTTGGGGATAAAGAGGGGAGAGAAGAACTGAGTTGACATTTGCTCAACCTTCTGATTTTTCTTTGTCTAACAGTCCGTAATCCCTCACATTTCTCTATTTACTTCAAAAATTCCCATGGATTCCCTGCTTACATCCTTATCAGTTAAATGATCTCATTTTAAACCTTCACCAAAAAAACAGTAACTGAGTCAGACTTTGACTAAGTTAAGGTATATGTGTCTAAGAAAAATCCAGGAGGGGTATCTATGACAGTGAACTGGCACAGGTCATGTGCAGGGTGAAAAGAGACCAGGGTCATTAAGAAAATAAAACAAAATTATGCTTGCCTACAGAATTCAGTGGCATATATATGCACTGTGACTAATGAGATAATCCAGAGCAGTTAAATAGGAGGTAGAGTTAGCACTGGTAAGGCTTGTTAGAACTGGTGAGAAAATTAGCCATTGTTTGGATACAAGGCCAACTGCACTTAGCTATCCATATGTAGGTATCTATACATAAAAGAGTAAAAGAGCGATTCAGCCCCCTCAGTCAGATATTTGGGGCACAGTTCAGTTGCTCACACACAGATATTTTGTGCAAATTGATATACCTATGGTCAAGCCTTGTGATGCATTTGGAATGACAGGGATGCCTGCTTGGGCTTCGGCTGCCAGTCCAGCTTGGTCCTCCTCTAGGCCTCATGTGACATCTTGTAGACTCATGCAAATGCCCTGGATACCCAAGGGCAAATGATATTAGACATTTATGTTTATCTAAATGAATAAGGTGCACAGGTAACTGTCACCTGAATCACTTGCTGGACTCCAGTGACTGCCTCAACCAGGATCTCTCTTGAGTTAGTCATGCAAGAAGTCTGCTGCTAATAAGGATTTCCTCCTCACTTCCATCTGCCACTGAAAGAGGACAAGTCTCCTCTAGTACCTTTGTCATACAAGAGCAAATGAACTGAGTCACAGATTCCTGTTGACAGTACAGGAACTTGGACCTATAGACTACCTGACACCTCTATGTAAACACCTAACTTAGGAGACAAGCTGGAACAGATGGATTGTTACTTTTTCCTTTCTTATGAATTGTGCTTTTTTTGTCTCTCTGTACAATTTCTGCAATAGCCTTCGAGCATTAGCTAACACTTATTCCAACTGCCAGAGGCAGTCTCTGTGTTCAGTGCTAACACTGCTGCTGAAACAATATAGCTGATTTTGACATTTGGAAGCCAAAATAGCCATTGATATATTGAAGTGGAGTCAGAGACAAGTTACAAGAATGTTTAAAGAACTAGAAAACTTTTCCTATGGTGCAGGAGGCTGATAACTGTGACTTTAGCTTTATGTGCAGAGCAATGTCTGTATTACTGTAGAACTCTCCAGCAAAAGGGGAACAAGATTATTATAGTTCAACAGGCAGAAACTCCTAAACATGACTGCCTCAGACACAAACAAATTGCTGCATAGCCTGTGTAAGGATGCCTGCAATCCCTGATACTGACAAAGATAAGAAGAGCTGAAAGGGAAAAAGGGCAATGACTTGATCACAGCCTATAAATGTAAAATGGAGATCAGAAATTTTTGCTATTGGTTAATCTTGAATCTATCAGAGACATAATATTGTACGGTTGGAATGAAAGCTAGGTGAATTCAATCTAGAAATAAGTAAACAGGTTCTTGATTGGTGTGTTACTAAATACTGAAATAATAACAATAGCTGTATGGCTTCTCCAGCCCTGCAAATGTTTTAATAGAGATTAGATGCTTTCTACAACATATGCTTTAATTGAAAAACAGCTCAGAGAATTGCTGTGACAGAGGTTCTAACTAGAGCATCACACTGCTTCTTCACAGCCCCCCAGCTGATGCAACTGTGAAAACAACATCCTCTTCAAAAGCCATTCTAATTTTTGTTTTCACACTTTATCTGGAGGCATTACTGTCATTGCTGCCACATTCCCAGCCTCCTGCTCACACACACTGGACATTTTGCTGAGGGAGACTACAGATGAGTGAGGGCACTTCCAGCTGCATGGTATGGTTTTACCTGACTGACACTTGGTTGAATTACAAGCTCTCTGTGGATTTGACTACTGTGACTCACCGTGTTCCAGGATGTATTTCACAATCTCGCCGTTCCCAGTCTTGGCAGCATGGTGCAACAAGGAGCAGTGATCAGGTCCTTGGATTAACAAATTGGCTCCTTTTTTACAGCATTCTATGAACTGGGAAGAAGGAAAAAAAACATAGAGACAGAGAGAGAGAGAGAAAACACACAAAAGGATAAGTTGGGAGGAATAGGAAAACAAATATGCAGGTAAATTTCTTTACCACTTTTCATAGGAGGTCAGTACAAAAAATGGAATAAAATAAAATATTAATTGTAAGCCAGCTTTTAGGTTCCAATGTAAAATAACTGAAACTAGAAGTATTGACAATTATATGGGTTAAGAAGAATAGTCTGTATTTCCTAAAACTTGAGACATTGCTACTCTATTGTTGATGAATTATTGCTTGTTATCAGTGCTTGCAAACATACGGTGAAACTGTTGGAATATTTTAAAATGTATGTACTTGATAGAAAATTCTGGCTTCTCTACTGAAGATTCCAATTTTTCCTCAGCATAGTAGCCAAACATTTTCTGACTAAATCAGAAAACTCCAACTAAAAAATCCAGAGGAAGGTGAGGTAACTATCCCAGATCTCCATTCTCACTCTCTGCCCAGTGTTCAGGGTTGGCAGAGGGGGAAGCACTATTGTGGGGTAAGAATGAGAGCGAAACAGCAATCAGCCAGGTCTCAGAAGTGCTGCAGACTTTGGGGGAGGAGCGGGGGTGGGATCTGTAGTGCAAATAACTGCAGAAAAGGGAGAGAACTGCAACAGTGAGGCATTAATTATGATGCAGGACATCCAAAGAAGGGCAAGAAGTTTCCCTGTCAAAGCCAACTCAAGCAAAAACTTTTCAAGAAGTGGAAAGGAGGCAATATTTTTATGGCTGCTGGTTGAAGAACTGCTCTCTAGATGCTGCAGCCATAAGGTCTGGGGGAGTGGTGTAGAAGGGGCACATGCAGGCAAAAAGTTGGCCTAACAGCACTGTCATTTTTATAAATGACTCCAAGGTGGCTTCTCATAGATAAAATTGCAATCATTAATCACAGTCCTCATCCAAATTCTAGGGCATGTTTTCAAATCCTGACTTGGCTACTGAAACACGCAGCCTGATTAGCTGTCTGACATGGGACCTCAGTCTTAGGGAAAAAAAACATTTTTGCATGAGTACTTTTTCCTCCCAAACCAACTATACCAAGACACTATGTATTTTGAGACATCCATCAGATGACAAAACAACCAGATGAGGTTTGTTCTATCTTATCTGGTGGTTGCCTAGGTAGACATTAAATGATCTATCAACTTGGGGGCTTGGCCACCAACCTCACTGGTGTAAAATATCCCTTACTATGTAAGGCTGTGTCAGAACTACCCTGCTGTTCAACATAGTAATTTCCCTGTTAGTAACTGGCACAGTGCTTCATGCAGTGGCTATGAATCCTGAGCTGAAAGGTGCTGTCTAACACCAGATCCTATTCACTCAAATTTCACACCTCACCTGACTGATGTGTTCCCCTGGTATTCAGGGTTTCCTGGAAAGGTTGTAAAATGGCACTTGCCAGCAGTCCCCATAGCAGTCTATTTATATTTTGAGCAGAGGTGTGATAAAATTTACAGTATATCAGACCAGCAAAAACTGGGAATAAGTGGACACTCAGTGCTCTGTACCTACCTTCAGTAGATCACCAGATATGACTGCCTGTAAAAGTGCTGCAAAGACAAATAGAAAACTAATGTCAGACAGAAAGCATTATGCATATAGCCTCACAGCTGAGAACACAGCTCACAGTATATGTAAGTTAAGAGTGATACCTCAGTCCACTTGCATTCTCATGTACTACCAAACCAATGTAAAACCTGCACTAACACTGGAAAGGCAGAAGACTGCCCATGTTACATGAAAGCTGTATGGGCATCAAGCCAGCATTTCCAATGCTGTCCTGAAATTGCATGCTTCTATCTAAATTTTTCCCTTGAGACACTTCTGCCCCTTTCAACAGTGTCCACAGGGCTGGCCAAGTTTCTGGCACCTGAGCCATCACTGAAGATATCAATGACATCCACACAGAGAACCCCAAAGTAGCTTCAGACCTGTCAGACTCTGTCATACTGGTGGTGGAATAGTCAGTCAGTCTCCAATACACCGAGAATCCCAACTTGCAGATGACTAAGAGAAATTTCTTAATAATTATTTGTATTACAAAAATATTTTGAGATGCCAGTGGGGAGCAAGTCCCCTGGGTTCGGCAGACAGGGCCAAGGTCAGTCCTCACCTTTTCAGCCTTTGTATTTTAGACAGACACAGAAGGAGAAAAAGTGGACAAAGGCTCACAACAAGGCAGGACAGAGCTGCACATAGAGCTGGGAGCTTCCTACTACCCACTACTGTCTGCCCTGAGCCTGCTAAAAAGAAGAAGGAAGGCAAAAACCTGAGACTCTGTATTGCCCTGAGAGGTTGTTACAAGCCTAACATTGTGCGGTTATCTCCTTCTTTTTTTCCCCTTCTATCATGATATATATTGCAGAAAAACAATTATGAATATTCTTTCTGAGAAAGCACTTACATGGTTTGCATCTTAGAAAGCATTAAACATCTGCCTCAGTTCATGCTTTTTCAAGTATGTCTAAGCCCATTTCTATCTTTGAGTCTAGGCAATGCAATCAAATTAAGCATTTGTTCAAGTGCCATCCTTGATAAAGATGCCAAAAGTTCATGTAGGGAGGAACAAGGGGGAAAGAAAACTGTAGTATAGCTTTGCCTCTGAAAAATAACACAGAGGAAACTGCACAGTGTGAATTCCATGAGGAGCTTGTTACGCCTTCAGAAATTACAACACATCCAAGCTAAACACTACAGAAGAGGAAGGATGTTCAAAGGCAACTCAACAAAAGTGCTTTTCTTTGAAAACACGTGAGGTTATATGGCTTTCTGGTCTCAGTAATGCCTCATGCCCTGGCTACGCAGCAGTGGGAAAAGCAAAAACCTAGTCCAGCTAAGTTGTGACTTAGGAAAGCAGTAGCAGCAATTCTTGCAACATTAGATTTAGGGCAGTTTTTCAGTGATCATATGTCCTACAAATCCCCGGGCATCTGTGGGAATGAGGACACACAGATTTTAAGAATGGAAAAAGGCAAGTTAAGAGCTAGAAAATACATTTACGTGTTTTCTTCAGTTTGCATTTTCAGTGGTTTACATCCTGCTTTTTTCCTCAATAGTTCTAATACTGGCTCAGTCCAAACTAACAGCAGAGCAGAATTTAACCCTTGTGTCATTCATTTGGGGTTTTTTCCCATCAATCTGGTCTTACTGCCACCTTTATTTTGTAGGTTACTGCAGTCTGGACTTGTATAAATATTTTGCTCTCCTCACACATGTGAAAATCAAATGATCTGGTGATACCAGTTATTCATTTCCTTCTACATCCAATTTTTGAAGACATGTCTTCCCTGAAGTCACTTCCTAAGAGGCAGTGATACATATTCCTATGCAAGCCATGCTTAAGATTATAGTTCAAAAAAGCCAGGAGAGAAATCTAAGATTCCATGAAAAGAAAAGCCTGATGAGATGTGAAAAACCTTCTATGTTGAGTATCCATAACCAGAAGTTGGTCTGGTGATAAGGCTATTAGGATAAAGCAGCTCTAAAACACATTCAGCATAATTAGACCAATCTTTTCCTCTCTTCCCTAAGCCTCAAATCCAGCAAAGCATTTAGGTAGGTGCTTAGCTTTGAGTTAATTACATTCTTTTCACACCAAGTCTACCTGCACTGTTAAAATTAAGTGCTTTGCTGGAGAAGAACCTATTGCATAAATGAATATATTACAGATCAACAAAACCAGCTGGCATAACAAGAGATTAGACTACACTAAAATAATTCAGTGCTGTAAGCCAAAATGCAGGAAGATGTAGAAGTTTTTGAGCTAGAAATGGAGAAAGGTTTTTTAAAATAGGGAACATGCTTAAATAAACATATGACTATTGCTTAGCACACTAACCCTATAAACTGAAATGGGACTGCTGGGCATATGGAGGAGGAGGGTGAAGATGGCAAAAATCACCTGGTTGTTAAAGAGGTGGTGAAGCAAGCAAGCAGATGGCATTGACAAGAGAGAGCAGACTGAGAAACTGGAGAAAAATGCTGTTAACATGCAGTGCCAAGCTAGCTTAAAATTAAAAACATTAAAGTGAGAATTGTTTTATTTCTTCTAAGCAAACTGCACCACTGGTGTAATAAATAAAATTAATTATGCCATTGTTTTATCACACATAAAATACCTTCTGATCTTAAAGATATCTCAAAAATTGCTTGATTTAATAAATATTTTAATCAAGTCATTATTTTCTCAACTTCTCCTGAAACAATCATTTGTCATGACTAATAAAAATGTTTTATTACCTTTTGTGTTTATTTAGCAAGCAGATTTATTGTTGATGAAAGGTGACTGAAGTGCTCTGTCCATGTAACGAGGAAACAAACGCTCAGTCTGCAGTGGTGCTGGACTCCCCAGGCTGCCTTCTCAGCAGAGCTCAACCCTCTCTACTGGTACAGCCCCTACTCCATCACTGACCTCTCTGCTGAAATTGCCAGCAGATGGGTCAGTCACTGCCCAGATTGATGGATCTTGACAGAAACAATTACCTGCTAGGATATGGACAGCCAGAAATGCAGGCGATCTATGTAACAGCAGCTTCTGGTTTCCACTGGGTGACTTTTGAGATGAGATTCTAACTACCCCTGTGGGCCAACTTACAAAAGAATCCTCGTTAAAAAAACCCAACCAACTAAAAAAAAAAACTAAACAAACAAAAAGAAAAAAAAAATCCCCCCACCGAACACAAATAAATAAAAACCAAAACACCATAAAACACCAACCTCAAAACCAACCCCCTTACACACACACTTGACTTATAAATTAAATATTGAACAGACACAAGTGGATAATGCACTAACAGAAAAAAAAGTCCTGTCAAAAAGGCTGCTAATTGAATTCTGGTAATGCTGCAAGCTAGTGCAGCTTGAGTCACGGGATAAACAACTCCTAGTACACTCACACATGCTGAAAACAACACTGTTCCTATGGCATGTGCCACTCATCTAATTTCTATGTTAGTGCCCATTACTTCCATTGGAAACAGCTATTTTTATTTCATATTCTAAAAATATATGTTAATGTCACCAAGTTATAACAAACGTTTTTGTTTCCCAGACATAAAATTAACTTATGAAATCTCAATTGCCCTCTGGTTCTGCTTATGAAGCCAGCGTCACTAAAAGAGTGCTGCAAAATCAGTCATTAAACACTGGCAAACAGATAACAAAGGACTGAGGTATTTGTACCCAGTAACTCCAGAGGCTGCAAGATGTCTAAGAGGTCTCATAGGGCTGCTTGGATGCTCAGAAGAGAAAGTACCTCTCCATATAAAGTAACCTGGTGTCTGCTGCAACGGTTCATGTTATGCATCTCCCTCCAAAGACTACAAAATCTCCAGAGAAAATGACCTCCAACTTTTCTAAATAAGGAGTCAAACTAAGACAGAGGGGATCCCTCAGAATGGCATGATTCTGGGGGACATGGCTGATCACCTTCAAGAAGGATAACAGAACAAGAGGAAAACAGGAAGTCCCCCTTTTAAGAGTTTTCAAGATATGACACTGCTGCCACCAGGCAATGCTCTTGGTCTCAGAAATTTTGCGAGTTCTTTGTATACCACACAGGTGCAGCATGAGAATGACTCATAAATGTAAGGGCTAACAAAGACAGACCCACTGACTGCAACGCATCAAAACAATATGGCAGGAGGGGGCAGAAGTCACCACCTCCACCTCACTCACTTCAAAAGCCATGAAAATTCTCACAAGTAAGGAAAACCTCAAACTACCTCTTCTTATCTGCCCTGCAGAAAAACTTTCTCCTGGATCAAAGCTGCTGATCATCTTAACACAAGGACAGAAGCAGAGCTCATCGCCAGGTTACCATTACACTAGAACTCTGCTGCTAAAACACTTTCAGAAAGAACATGAAGAAAAAAACTTTTATAAACCCCCGTAAGTAACATCTCAGAATCCCAAGGTTCTTTGCTTAAAGTTGGTTGACATGGAAGATATTTACGAAGTTAGTTTTATAATCATTAGAGAGTCAGTAAGAAGAGTTGGTCTGCACTGGAAAGGATCTCAAAGAACAGGACAGTTCTAGTTTGACATCCTCAGCAGTAATGTACCTTTTTACATGAATACAAGTTATTCATAAACCATAAATATCTTCCAGATTTTATTAGTTAGATTGCACACCTAATATGACCCTTTCAGAGCCATATTTGAACCCACTACTGCTGTACCAACTAAGCCACATAGAGTGCTAATAAAAAAGTGAATAAAAATAAAGTGAAGGTCTAAAAATTGTGACTGGAGGGAGCAGAATTACATAAAACTATGTTATAAAGTATAAGTACCACACAAAGGAGTTGTCACATCCATGGCTGATTAAAATGCAGCCTATTATGGATCTATGAATGGAATGCAGTCTGGGAGCAAAGTATTATTTGCAACAATACATCTTACCATGAGTTAAAAAATATCAGGCTCACAGTGCATCTAATCAGAGTATGGCAATGTTTAAGCACATGGGAAATTATGGCAGAATTCAACTACCCTAACTCAACACTGGTTGGAGGGGTCTTGGACAACCTGATGATCTAGGGGTTGATAT